CCATTGTGTATACATATATATAACATTTTGTTTATCTACTCATCTATTAATGGAAACTTGGCCTGTTTCCACCTTTTGGCTACTCTGGATAACGCTTCTATGAACATTAGTGTACAGATATATGTTGAAATCCCTGCCTCGCATTCTTCTGAACATATACCTAGGAGTTGAATCACTGGGTCGTATGATAATTCGATGTTTAACCTTTTGAGAAACTGTTTTCTATAGCAGCTGCGTCATTTGGCATTCCTACCAGCAATGCATAAAGGTTCCAATTTCTCTACATCTTTACCAACATTTGTTATTTCCCTTTAAAAAAATTATACCCATTTCCCCTCATATCTTATTGACCGCTATTGGCTAATTCCCAAATTAATTATTGGGAAAGTGAATGAGATCACCACTGATTGCTCCAAGCCAATCAGGACTCGCGTCCTGGGTAGAGTCCACATTCCCTGAAAGACATGGCTGCAGGGAGAACAGCTCAATATCTGAACAAAATCAGGATATTCCAACAAGAAAGAAAGGATGGGGGTGGATTATAGGGAGGCTACCATCAATGTCTGTCTGCAATGGAGAGACTTTAAAAATATCAATGTCCAGAACAGAAATTCTGATTCGATTGAGCTGGTCTGCCGTGGGTTCCCACATCAGTCATTTTTAAATGTTCACCCGGTTGATTCAAATGTGCATTCATGGCTGAGGCCTCACCTCAAACCACTTACTATACCAGCAAGTATGAAGCTGAGAAGTACAACATGCAACAGGAACACTGGGTAGGGGCACCCTGCCTGCTCTGGTGGACAGAGGAAATTCCCCCCAGAGGAAGTGATGTTTAGACTGATATTTGGAAACATCAAGTAAGCCAGGCCAAGAGTGTCATAGACACAGGGGACATAGAAAAGATGGTGCCCGAGGAATGGGAAGAAGTTCAGTCCAGCTGGAATGTAGTATCTTTACTCAAATATGTGTAACTCTTAGGACAATGGCCAGATTCCACACTCTGGCCTGGTTTACTTCTGGGTAAGTTTACCCATCCCCTGTGTCCTGTTCTTGGCAAGCCAAGTAAGTAGCAAGATGCCTATGCTTTGTACAACCAGTATGACCTTGAGGAAGTCCCATGACCTCTCTGGAGCTCCAGAAATGTCCTACAAATAAATAAGTTCCTTACAGGGATGGAGGAACTTCCACCTTGGGTGGTGAGATGGGCTAAATGGGTGATGGGCATTAAGGAGGGCACTTGTTGGGATGAGCACTGGGTGTTATAGGTAAGTGATAAATCACTGGGTTCTACTCCTGAAACCAGTACTATACTGTATGTTAACTAATTTGGATTTAAATAAAATTTAAAAGTAAATAAATAATAGATAGATAGATATCTCACAAGGCTATTGTGGAACTCAGATGAAAAAAATGTTTGTATGTGAGTGTCATACATTAATATGCTAATGAATTCCAAATTTCTGTTCCTGTCAAACCTCTCTCTAGAGCACCCTCTGATCTCCAGACCTGAATATCAAGCTGTCTACTTGACCTCGCCCCTTGAATGTGTAGTGGGCATTTCCCACCTGACATGTGTAAGATCTAGCTTCTCATATGCTGCTCGAAACCAGCACCCCCTCCATGCTTCCTCCTATTGGCTAATGACATCTCCATCCTTAATATCATCCTTGACTCCTTTCTCTCCAACATTCAGTCTGGTAACAAGTCCTGTTACTCTATTTTCAAAATATATCCAGAATTTGACTATTTTTCACACCCACCACCCCTTTTCTGGTCCAAGCCAACATCTTCTCCTGCCCGGATTTTGTGGCAGCCTCCTAATTACTCTCCCTGCTTCTGCCCCTCCTCCCACAGTCCATTCTCAACACAACATTCGGGGTGACCCTGCTAACCTATAAGTCAGGTCACCCTGCTCCTTCAGTCCAAACCTGCCCAAGGCTCCATCTCACTCAGAGTAAAGGTTGAAACCCTTTTGATGACCTCTCACACCTTCTGTGACTCAACCCACCATTTTTCTCTTATTTTCTACATTCTCCCCTTCGTTCACCTGCTTCAGCCCCAACTCTCTTGCTTGTCCCTGAATGTGCCAGGAACACCCTGCTGCAGGGCCTTTGTACTTGTGGTTTCCTCTGCCTGGAAATTTCTGCCCCATTTAGCCACATGGTTAACTTCTCACTTCTTTCATATCTTTACTCAAAAGCCATAATGTCACTAAGTCCTTCCCTCAACACCCTATTTTAAATTTCAGCACTTGCCCTTGGCTTCATATTCTCCTTCTCTGCTTTATTTTTATCTTAGTATTTACACTAACATGTTTTATATATTATTTATTTATATTGTTTATTAGCTCTCTCCCCTGCCAGAATATGTGCAAATTTTTATATGGTATATACATAATACATGTATTTATCAAATCTTCCTACCAGAATACCCCTGCTCACCAAGGGCAGGGATTTTGTCTGATTTGTTCACTTTATATCTCTAGTACCAGGACAGAACCTGGTACATAGTGGGAACTCAGTAAATTTGTTAATACCACGTTTTACAGAAGAGAAACCTGGGGCTCGGTGCAATTAAATAATTTACTCAAGATACCACAGTAGGAAATGGCAAAGTTGGGGAGTTTACCATTCTACAATGCTTTACAACATAAAAACACCTCCTCCCATCCCTCCACATGCTGACCACCAGTTCCCCAGGGCCTTGCCCAGTATCTGTGTGCTTTACCCAGATCCCCTCTTCAGCTGATGCTCCCACCTCACAGCTACTGTCCTCTCTGGGAATTGCCCTTGCCCACATGGAACTGCCCTACACCCTGCACCCTGAGGCCAAAGGCTGGATGATGCAGGTATACCTTTCAATTTGGGACAACTCTAAAGGGTCATCCTTTAGAGCTCCCTGTTGGATCTGCTGAAACTCATTGTGGATGAGGTGCCTCAGTCCAACCTGCCTTCCTCCCTTCCTTACAAGTCTCTCTCAAGACCAGTCTCCAAAATCCTTCTGCATGTGACTCTAGGGAGCCTAATCTAAGACCACCAATCCCTTCATTGCCTGTTGCCATAGCCCACTCATCTGACCTCCTAAGTACCCTCTTTCCACTAAAATTCAGCCATCTTGTATCCCAGTGACTTGAAAATGGGTGCTGATGGGTTAACATGTTGCCCAAGAGAAGCAAATTTTATGGGAACTGACACATGCAGCTAGCAATCTGCAAAACACACTTATACACATGATTTCATTTGCAAAAGCAGAATAGCATGATAGTCTCTGAAGTGTTTCTGCCTGGATCTGAATCTTGGTCCTACCAGTTCTTAGTCTTGTGACCTTGCCCAGCTACATAATCTTTCCATTGCTATGTAGAATGGTGATAATAATGGTCGCTTCCTCCTAGAGTTTTTATTAGAATTAAATGAGTCAGTACAAGGAAAGGTCTCAGAATAGCTGTGACACATAATATGCACATAGTATACATTAGTTATTAGATCCTCACAAGACCCCTAGAGGTATTATAATTACTACCTGTGTTGGACACCTCTTGTGCCCCACCTCCTACTCTCTGCCCATCTTTTCATTCCAGCTGTTGCTGCAGCCACTTGCTGGCTCAGGTGTAACCAACAGCACCTTGCTCAGCTGGACTGCTTATTTCTTATTTCCTGTCTGGTTGCTTTGCCACTTCCACCTGAGATGCTTCCAGAAATGCACTCAGCCATTCTGACCTGAGCAAACGTGGAAAGGTGAGGGAGCTAATATCCCATGTGACATCCCTTGACCAGGAGGGAGTTGGAACCAATGGGAAAATATCCCTTCTTTCTTTCCTTGAGAGAATAACTCTGAGGTATAATCTGTCCCATCATGGTCCAAGTTCAGGTGTCCAAAGCATGGGCACCCCTGGCTTGGCATTCCTTCCTTCCCTGTCTCACTCTTCCCAAAATAGACTATCCACATACAAGCCTTCATGCTGTGCTCTTTGTGGAATCATCTAACTGTGCATAAGAGGAGAGTGAAAGAGAAAAAAAAGACTTGTACAACATCCAGAATCAGATCTAGACTCAAGTTCAAGTCTTCTACCTCCTGAATGACATTCCCTCACACTGCCACCTCCCATTTCATACATATGCACCTTAACATTGGCCTTCTGGAAGCTCGATTAGCCAGTGTGAGGCCAGGGAGGAAAGAGCTATGAACTCATATCACAGTCCCTTTTCTGTGCCTGCATAGAACTGGTTCCACATGGCTAGAGGGTGGGGAACAGTGGTTCCACCTGACTGAAACCTGGGATAGGGACTGTGTCGAATTTGTCTTTGTATCATCAGTATTCATGGTGTGGCAAATAGTAAGTGCTTAGTAAATGTTTCCTGTATACATAGGTCTGGAAATCAAACTATTGATGGTTTCTTCTTAAAGATTACTTTTTATGTGGTCATGCTTGTTCTTATACTATTGTTTATTTTTTATGCTGACCTGGAATGTAATCACCAGTGAACAGAGAACATTTTTGAGAGGGGATTGGATTGTTTACCTTTTTACCAGGCTACATTGGTACAAAATAATGTGCCTGGAAATTATTCAAGAAATACATATTCCTTGAAATCATTTAGGAAAGAAAACCTGAGTACCAAGTTGATTGGTCAAAGAAGTAGCTAGGAGTTGTCGAACTGGTGACCTATAGGAGAAATGTAGCTCTGAGATACCCGGATTTCACCAGCACAGCATGGATTGTTTTATGTTGAAATTCTTCGAAGTATGCTACAGGTCCTACCACTTTCCATAGCATTCTACCCATCCTAATTCTCAAATTTGGGTTACTTGTGTTGCCTTGTAGGTATATGGGTTTGTGACCCTTGTACAGAGCAACACACAACAGGGTACTTCTTATCCAGAAAGAGTTGAAGGAATTGATGGGCACAATTCCTGGCTTTTCCTGTATGTAGCTTGTTCATCTCATTTCTGCCACCATCACCAGGTGCCTGATGGTAGTGTAATGTCCTGCCTTCCAGGTACTATAAGATCACTGTGGTGCTCATGTGCTTTGTGATCCCCACGCTGATACCCTGGTGTGCCTGGGAAGAGAGTCTGTGGAACTCCTATTTCTTGGCCTCCATCCTCCGCTATACCATCTCACTCAACATCAGCTGGCTGGTCAACAGTGCTGCCCACATGTATGGAAACCGGCCCTACGACAAGCACATCAGCCCTCGGCAGAACCCACTCGTCACCCTGGGTGCCATTGGTGAGTAGGGGTGTGAGAGCCAATGGGGAGCATGGCAGCTCAGATTTTCTTAACCTTCCAAAGGTTTTCTGGACTCTGTAAAGAGAGGCAGTGGAATGGAGTCAGGTGGGATGAACTTGGGCTTCGGTATTAGAATCCTGGTTCTTGGGCAAGTCACCTAATCATTCTGATTTAGAGTTTTCTCATCTGTGAAATGGGAAGAGTGATGCTTACTTCATAGGGATGTTATGAAGATAGATACTCTATGTAAACTGCTATATGCAATATAGATATGCTGTAAGGTAGATACTATATGTAAACTGCTTAGTAAAATGTCTGTCATATAGTAAGTGATCAATAATTAGGAGCTATTTATTTTTACCGTGAAATTTTTCCTAATGGAGAAGTAGCAGCTGGCTTTTCTCTCAAACTGCCCTGACCATTCAGCTGTCCAATCATTTGACCGACTGTAAGAAAAAAGGCCTTCAGAGAGACGGGAAGAAACAAGAGTGTGGCATCTCATGGTGCCACAGAATGGTTCGGAGCGAGGCCGCTGGATTCTGACAACTTTGGTTGAGTCTTGGTTCCTTCACTTACTCTCTGAGAGAGTTATCTGGTTCCTCCGCACCTTGTGTCTTCTCCTGTAAAGTGAAGATAATCATAGCATTCACCTGCTTCCTGGGGCCACCAAAGGGTTAGATGAGCTAATACATAGTCTTTGCAACAGTGCTTAGCGTGAAATAAGTGCTTAGTTTGTGACTAGCCTTATGGTCTTAGGAAGTTACTTGTCCCTTCTGTACATTTACATCCTCATTTTTAAAATGGGGAGAATCATAGCAGCTAGCTCAGAGATCTGAGGACTATAGGTGTTCATACCCATTAAAGCACTGAGCACTGTGGCTGAAACATAGTAAGTAATAAATAGACATTAGCTGTATCTTTCTAGAAGTAACTCAAGCTTCTTGGTAAGCTGAGCCTTGAGCATTGAGATCAGCCCCAGGAAGGGAAGGCCCTGTGGCTAAGTAGCAATGGTCTCTGCATCACCTAGCAAAGAGTTTCTCCCACCACATTGTTAGGCTCGGACCCCGTGTTGACAACAGCAATCTGAGGTGGAATAACCACCCAAATTTAACTATGGGACCAACCAGCTAAGCAGAGAGAAAAGTGTCTTGGAAGGAGTTTCTGATGCTTCTACTTCTTCCTGGACTGCAGTGAGGGGGGCCATATCCAGTGTTGACCCTGAGAGCAGACAGCAAGGGGACAAGATGGACTGTTACCATCTGATGTGGGGATGGTGGACCAGAAAACCCAAGGAATGTGACCATGGCACTGGCCTTGAAGAGCTGGGTACTGGTTTTAAGTCCACCCAGGTCAACACGGGGCTCCTAGTCGGTTTTCTTCATTAAGGTCCTGGAAAGGCTCCCGTTACACTGAACTGTGTGATAGATGGCGGGTACGCACAGGTTCTCAGAACAGTGTCTGCTTCTGAAAATAGCAGGGGAGACTCCTCTATACTACACTGTAGTGCAGGAAAAACACTAAAAATTATGAGGGTGAAAGGAGCAGGGTAAAGAAGACCTAAATTAAAAAGAAGACTGCAGGGGCGCCTGGGTGGCTCAATCGGTTGGACATCCGACTTGGGTTCAGGTCATGATCTCACGGTTTGTGAGTTCAAACCCCACGTAGGGCACTGTGCTGACAGCTCGGAGCCTGGAGTCTGCTTCAGATTCTGTCTCCCTCTCTCTCTGCCCCTCCCCTGCTCATGCTCTGTCTCTCTCTTTCTCTCTCTCCCTCTCTCTTTCTCTCAAAAATGAATAAACATAAAAAATTAAAAAAAGAAAACTGCAAACCACAGTTCCATCCATCTGATATATTCATTACAGAGCAAGATCCTTCAGCTGTGGTCAATAGAAGAACTACATGATGACCAGGGCCTATTTAAGAAGTGAAGGAGAAATCTGGCAGTTCCTCAAATGGTTAAAAATAGTTATCATGTGATCCAACAACTCCACTCCCAGATTCATACACAAAGAGAAATAAAAATATATGTCCACACAAAAACTTGTATATGACTATCCATAGCAATATTATTCGTAATAGCCAAAAAGCAGAAATAATCCAATAGTCTGTCAATTGATGGATGGATAAACGCAGTATGGCACATCCATACAACGGAATACTATCTGGCAATAAAAGGAAATGAAGTACTGATATCTGCTACAACCTTGAAAGCATGA